TCCTCCTCCTCCCCTTCCTCCTCCTCCCCTTCCTCCTCCTCCTCCCCTTCCTCCTCCTCCTCCCCTTCCTCCTCCTCTTCAAGAAGCTGGACAGCGATCCCAAGGTGAACACCCTCTTCTCTGCATCGATTTCCTCCATGTCCTCAGCTCCCGTAGCGCTGAACGTTTCTGGAGGCCTGAAACCGAATCCCGCCCACAGCTCCCGGGATGCAGTGCCCCGCCCCAACGATGGCCACACAAGCCTTCCCTTTGGCACCCCCTCCCCACATAATCCACTCCTCTGGCTCCTCTTCCCATCTGTAGCCCCCCAGCCTTGTTTTTCCTCTTCCCCCAAGAAGCGGAGCCCATCCTCTCCCTTCTCCCACCCCGGATCCCGGCCTGCCAGCACATCTCGGCTGGAGGTTAGAAAGGCCGGCTGATCTGATGATTCCACACTGTGTTGTGAATGACTTAGAACCATCCCCCAGCGCGCACACACACACACACACACACACACACACACACACAGCCTCTACCCTTCCCTGGGAATGGCAGGCAGTGGGGGAAAAGGGAGGGAGGCTGCCCCGTTGTGATGAGCCGATGAGCCTGTACTCAGCAAAACGGAGCGACTCCCAAAGTGTGGCGTCGAGCTAGGGTTAGCAGCTCATTAGCGACTACATTCCGCTCTCCTCCTGGACTCCTCACTCCCCCCTGTCACCTCAGAGACACAGGGTCTCGAATGTGGGTCCCGCTGACTTCATTTTTAAGGTTTATCTGCACTCAAGGCACGTTGTCACACACACGGGCATCTTCATTTATTGCTCCCCTCGAGTGGCAAACTGTTCCTGGCTATAAAAAAAACAAAAACAAAAACAAAATAAAAAAAAAACCAGGAAAGAGAGACTGTCCTGAGTTTGGAGATTTGTACTAAATGAACCCCCAAACTTAGCGATGTCACTAAACCCTTTTCTTCAAGACCGGTTCGGTGCAATGTCATTCACAAGTGGGTATAGAGGTGAAGTGGTCTAAAATGATTGCTTGGGGAATGACTGTCTTGTTTCTCAGAGGCTCTGGGCTTTTTATAACCCTTTCTGGATTATTCCTGAGGCAGGGGAGGAGGTGAGGGATAGGGAAGATGCTTGAGAAATCGCAGAAATGGAAGGCAGGACTCCCTAGGCCAGAAGCTGGCCTGAAACTTGGGTCTCAGTGTTGGGTTTGAACAGCCAAAATGTAATGGAAGGATTGTTTCTTTGGCCTATTCCAGGAACTACTTCAAGGGGAGCTTTTTGTCCAGGGTCAGTAGGTCCAGGCTATGAGATGGTATTAAGGACAGAGAGGAGAGAGAGGGAGAGAAAGCCGCTCCGAACACATGCTCTGGGTAGGGTGGGCTTCATCAGACCAGGACAGTAGTGGAAAGTGTGCTAGGGTGGAGTGATTATCTCAGCAAATGTCATGCATCGTTCCAGAGCAAGTGGTTTGTTTATTTAACTGTTGAGTCATTATCCAAGACCAGCTGGCCTCAGAGTTGACTTGTGTTTTGTTGTCGTTGTTGTCGTCTTATTTTGTTTGTTTTGTTTTTTGGAGGGGTAAGAGGATCGGGGGTTTTTGTTTGTTTCTTTGTTTGTTGTTGCTGCTTCTGTTTTTGCTTTGCAAAAAACAAAAAGGCAATCCCAGGAGAAACGTTTCAGGACAAACCAAGAGGAAAGAAAGGACCCAGGTAGACCCCTTAGACTTCTCTTTACATCCCCAAGAGAATGAGAAGTCGTTAATGAGAGAGGTAAGGAGGCCCAATCTGTACCAATCAGATCAAGTGTCTGAAACCATGCATTTCATGTAGGCCAGTGCACTTTTCTAGTGGGCCCATTCTACCATGGTTTCCATCAAAGAATGCAGCAAATTCATCAATATCAAAGGAAGAGAAAGCTGTGTCTTTGCAACCGGGGAAAAGATGAGGCTAGAAATGTCTTGGATGCTTTTTAGTACAATACCGTGCACAGAGTAGGCGCTCGATAAATAATAGTCAAAGAATGAATTCATATATGCAGAGGTCACTTAACTCCTCAGGAACAAATGTAAAACCCTACACCTGAGAGCTGAGTTGGACAATATTTGATGATATTCCTCTTCCTTCCTTCTTGTTTCACTTATCACCTCCTTCTGATACTGTGTTTTAGGCATATATTCTTAGCAATGCCCTTTCTTCTCCCCATTGCTCTACCTGCCACTCTTTGGGAGGTGAAAGGCAATAGAACTAGGAAGTGACTGCAGAGCTTCCCATTGGAAAAGAAAAGAAATAAAAAGCTAGTGAAAATAAAAGAAAGCTGTAAAGCAAAGAATATAACTCAATGAGGTGAAAACTGTGTGGTCGCAAAGAATATTTTAGGAGATACCTTGTCAATTATTATGCGAAGTAGAAACCCAAGGCTCGCTTTCTTTAATATGGCACGCTCGAATAGTTTTTATGTATGCCCCGAATAGGCAAATGTAAAATTAAAAAGAAGTACTTCTTGTTTCTGTGATTTCATGATTTTACAACGTGTCCTGATTGAGGTATCAGGGAATCTCTCGCTCGTAATGATTGATGATGTTACTACTAGAGTTTATGAAGTATCCATTGGCTCAATTCAAGCGAGCCGCTTGGGGATATTGCAATATGTGGTTGTTAGTAATAAGCCACAATTTCTTCTCTGGCTTTTATTTAGTTATGTTTGTTGCTGAACCAAAAACAAGACAATGTGGGGGGGTGTCGTTTATGAGAGGACACTGGGGCTGCTGGCTTGAATTAAACTGTATCTCCTTCACCTTATTTAATGTTTGGCACAAAAATGGTTTCATTTTCTTTTGTTTGGGTTACACACAAAAAGGGATGCCATTGCTGACCAGTGTAGACACTCATTCTATATATGAGGGATATGTGTTTTATACCAAAACAGCATGGTAAAAGCCACTTAGAGAAACCATTTGTAGTCATCTATCAACATGTGAGTTCTGACAATGAAAATCCAGTTCTCTCTCTCAACAATGTTTTCCTTTTCCTTGTTTTCTTTATTTCAGTTTTATCAAGGTATAATTGACAAATAAAATTATAGGATATTTAAAGTGTGCAACCTGATGGTATGACATATGTATGCATCGTGAAAGAATTCGCCCAATCAAGTTAATGAACAAACACATCCATCACCTCACATATTTACCTTTTTTTTTTTCTTTTTTGAGAACATTTAGGTTCTACTCTTTTACCCTTTTGAAAATACTTCTGTTTTTAAAAAATGATTGTGTTTGAACTTCCAATAAGAAATAAGATGATTTGCCTTTTGTGTTTTTGTATGCCCTAGAAATCCTCACCAGACAGCTTCCTGTTTCCTGAGAGTCGCTACCTGATCAGCTACAGGGATGAAAGTTTTGGAGTTGATAGGAGGGATGGTCTTCCTCACCTCTGTGTTTTCGTCCTGTTCTGCACAAAATCCGATGACTGTACTGTGCTCCACAGACTGGTTCATGGTCACAGTACACCCCTTCATGTTGAATAATGATGTATATGTACATTTCCATGAGTTACACTTGGGTCTGGGTTGCCCTGCCAACCACGTTCAGCCACACATGTACCAGTTCACCTACCGCGTCACTGAATGTGGCATCCGGGTCAAGGCTGTCTCTCAGTCCATGGTTATATATAACACCGAGTTGCACTATGCTTCAAAATGTACCTCTTCTAAGTATGTGATCCCACTGTCCTGTGCAGCTCCCCTACGGTCCCCATGGCTTACTCTACCCTGCCCCGTGAATGTAGCCAGTGAGGCGGGAACCACAACCCAAAATGGTGAGGCATGCTATGAGGTGTTCACCTTGTCACAGTCCAGCCAGAGGCCCAACTGTGATTGTCCACCTTGTGTGCTCAATGAAGAAGACGATGCCCGGGCCCCACGGGTTGCCCAGGGTGCCCACCAGGTAGAGGCTCAGGTGGGCCAGATGGTACAGCCATCCTCCCTCGTTAATATGTTTGAGGATTGGTCTCTTCACTCGGACGATCTGATTGAGTTCATGTGATCCCCAGGCTGGAGGTCTCCTGTAGATGCTCTTTATAACATTAGTATATAATATTTTCTAGTATCAGACAAGCAAGTGTTCTGGTAGCCTCCTTATGAGTGCTTTTGAGAGAGGACAACTCGTGGTAACTTCACGAATAAAGTGTTATTATATTTTTATATCTTTTTTGACAGAAAAAATAAAATTTTGATGGCATAAAAATATCAGTTCAGCACTTTTTATTGAATAAACACACATATAACTTTTACTGTGGGCCACACACTGTCCCAAGAGCTTTACAACCACTGGTGCCTGGTCTCTTCGGACTAGGATGATTGTGCTCTCCTTGAAGGCCCCCAGCGGAATCTCTCCCTCTGTGTCCCTATTTCACTTCACACGCTGCACCGCTCAGCCTAGCACTCAACTGCACACTTTCTTAGTTTGATCAATGGCTGAATCCCTTTTCATTCAGAGGAGGGATGGATTCCAACCTGGTGATTTATAAACCACCAGTGGTTCTAAGAATTACTCATCACATCCCACCAACTAGATGGTAAGCTCCTGAGGCCAAGGGCTGGATCTTATGTTTAGCCACAGACTGATAGTACTTCGGAAGGAATTTTATTCCCAACTTAATGTGATCAGAAAGTTTTCACCCAGGTTTGGCTGTCCATTAGCTTTCCCAAACACTTGGAGAAGGTGAATAAATGCATCCAACAAATATTCACTGAGTGCTACTACATTTCAGGTACCGTTCTAGGCATTGAAAGAGGACAGTGAATAAAAACGGAGCCTCAGAGAAATTGAGGTCACACAGCTAATAAATAAATAAGTAAACAGTGATACATTCTGATAGCAGCGAATGCCATGAAAAAACTTAAAACCAGGTGATACGAGAGAAACTTGAGAAGGGGTCAGAGCAGACAGGGAGTCTGAGGAGTCATTTGAACTGAACCTTGATGTGAAGAACGACCCAGCCCTGTCTGAGATGATCTGAGAGAGAACATTCCAGATAGTAGAAGCATCTCATTTAATCTTCACCACAACCTTGAGAGAAGTACTCTTACTATATCCATTTTACAGGACACAGAAGCACAAAATGATTAAGAAACTTGCCCAAGGTCACATACCTATTCAGAAGCAGACACTTTGGGGGCTACCTGGGTGGCTCAGTCAGTTGAGCATCTGACTCTTGATTTTGGTTCAGGTCATGATCTCATGATCGTGGGATAGAGTCCCACACAGGGCTCCGCGCTGAGCATGGAGCCTGTTTAAGATTCTCTCTCTCTCCTTCTGCCTCCTCTCCCCTGCTTGCACTCTCTCTCAAAAAAAAAAAAAAAAAAAAAAAAAAAAAGACCACAAGCAGCTTAGTACAACATGATGGGGGGGGGGAGTTTATGGTGGCAAGAGATGAGACTAGAGAAGGAGCAGTGTACAAGGCCATGCACAAGAGAAACAGCACTTCCCTCCCTTGTCCTCTCTTCAGAAATTTACAGATGATTAAACACTAGAACACACAGACATAACTCAGCGAGCAATCAATGCTAGACTCATTAGACCTGGGCCACCAGGCTCAGGCTGTGCTTCCCAAATGCAAGGAACACTTTTCACCGAGGCACCTCCTGGGGTTGTATAATGCATCAGCCTTGGAAGAGACTCTAGACCTACATGGTAATAAGAGTCGTCTCCGTGTGCCAGACACCTTATCTTCATAATCCCATTCACTCCTCACAATAGTTCTGCAAGAGAAAAACTTTTTTCTCTGTTTTATAGATGAGGAAACTGAGGCTCAGACCAATTGAGGCCATGCAGTATGTAACATCTTTCAGATTCAAACTCAGGTTTGTCTGCCTGCAAAGTCCACTTTCTCCCACTGTGGTCAACATGCCCTCCCAGAGAAGAGAAGCTTCTAGCTGGGTCGGAAGATTCAGGAAGATTTCCTTGTAGGGGTGGGCAAGGACCCCACTCTTAGAAAGTGGGGAGAATTTAGCTGAGCAGAGAAGAGGAAGACCATTCTTTGTGAGCAGAAGCACTGGGACAGGGTGAAGCAGCACACTTTGGGAAGGTAGACGCTTAGGGGCTTAGTGCTGTAAACAAGGTGAGAAGGGATGAGTAGAGCAGATGGGGAAGGGGTTGAAGGGTGGGAAGAGACAAAAAAAAAAAAAAGAGAGAAGGATTTCAAGTGAAGACAGCAAGCCTTCACTCCTTTTAGCCTACAAAACAGTTTCACGTCTATATAAGCCCCATTCATGATTAAGCGATAAATTGAGTAGTGTAGGCAAATTTGGAGTCTGGAAAACTCCAGAGCACAGAGGGTAGACTTCATGGAGGCCATAAGACTTGAGCTGAATCCTGATCTGTCTGACTGTGAAAAAGAAGGACTGAATCAAAGAAGGTGTCACCACTTAGAGCCCTGAGGAGCTCAGAAGACATGGTGAGCTCTGGATTAAGTAAGGAAATTGGAGTGAGGATAGAGGACGCAGGTGAAAATGAGTCCAGATTAGATGTGTGGAGTTCGGCAGATGATAGTAACATCCCAATGGATAAGACCAGGAATTAGCTCAAGAAATTGGAAGGGGTAATTCCTGGGGGATACGGCCTTGGAGAGGTCACGTGTGTACAGGCAATCAGGACCACAGCGTCAGAATTCCCTAACACTCAACATTCAAGGCACAGTTAGGAAAAGAAGCAGATACATCGAAGGAGATGGAGCAGAAGTGATCAAGAGGTGGAAAGAGACAAGTCAAGGTGGAGTAAGCCTAGTCACCAAGGAATTGGGAGCCTTTGAACCAGGCCTTAAAGCAGAGAGAGAATTTCATTAGGTGAAGCTGGAGGGGAAGGGCATCCTAGGCAAAGGACATAGCAAGGACAAACATGCAAAGCAGCGTTGTGGTCAAGAATCCGATTTTGTCCAGTCAACATCTCAGTGTAATTAGGCATGATTTTTCAAAATTCAGGCGTAATCTGCACTTGTTGACTTGGACATGTCATTACTTAGGGAAAGTGTAGTGTGACCCTCTTAGCTGCATGTTCCATCTTCTCCACTTGGCCGCCGGCTTCTTGAGCACAGGGCACCTTCTCCTACTTGTTTGTTTGTTTCTTTGGTTTGCCTTTCTCTTACATAGTCCTCGGTGAAGGTACTCAGTCGGTGCTCAGTCCAGTTGACTGGTACTGAAGAAGGGGCGCAGAGTTCCTGAGCATAGGAGCCATCCCAAAGACGGGAAGATAAAACGGTTGTAACCAACCACATGCATTTTGGATTGGCTAAATTATTTATCTTTAGAAATGTTTATTTCTTTGCTTGGGGGGAGGGGCAGAGAGAGAGGGAGAGAGGATCCCAAACAGGCTCCGTGCTGTCAGTGCAGAGTCTGACACGGAACTTGATTCCACAAACCGTGAGATCAGGACCTGAGCCAAGACCAAGAGCTGAAGGCTTAACCAACTGAGCCACCTTGTGAAATGCCATGCTAAAAAAGAGTATTTTCCTCCTCTACTGTGGTAATGTTCACTCCATTTTGAAGGGGACGCGACTTATAAAAAAATCCACCACACAGTGTTCATCATATTTGTAGTAATAAGAAATGTTTTATTGCCATCAAAAGAAATGAGCGTTTTCATCTTTCTTTCAATCTCTGGGAAAGCCAAAAATATCTGAAACCATCTGTTATGGTAATCGCTCGTGAAATATTTAAAAATTAGAGCCATGGGGCGCCTGGCTGGTTCAGTCAGAAGAACATCTGACTCTTGATCTTGGGTCACAAGTACAAGCCCCATGTTTGGGTGCAGAGATTACTTAAAAAAAAGTAGAGAGGACTCCTGTGTGGCTCAGCCAGTTGAGTGTTAAACTCTTGATTTTCACTCAGGTCATGATCCCAGGGTCATGGGATTGAGCCCCAAGTGGGGCTCAACACTGAGTGTGGAGCCTGCTTGAGATTTTTTCTATGTCTCTCTCTCTCTCTCTCCCTCCCTCTGCCCCTCTCCCCAACTTGCACTCGCTCGCTCTCTCTAAAATAAAATTAGAGCTATAATCTGTACACTTAAAAATGGTTAAAATAGCAAATATATTTATTTTAACACAATTTTTTAAATTACCAAAAATATTAGAGCCATCATGAGATTTTTTTCATGCATAAAAGGAGACTCAAAGTAACTTTAAATTTTTGGTTCCTATAACCTGAAAACAGCAAACCAATTTTCTTAAGTGTGTAAAGTATATGTTAATGTCAACAGTAAAAAGTCTTTTATCCCTAATTTTAACCAATAGCACATTTTGGAGATGCACGTAAGTACCCCATCCCTCCATCTGTCCACCAATAATGTGAGCCTGTGAAGCATCACACTAAGTACAGTGCTATTCAGACACACACACACACACACACACACACACCATGTTTATAAGAAATGTATTATCAAGGGACAAGTGTTTATTATAAAGGGAAGACTTTCAGAGAAATTCGATTTAATTCTAAGCAGCATTAATCCCTATGATTGATCTCTGATATCCCATTTAAATTGTAATGGTAGCCTGGCTGGCTCAGTCAGAAGAGCGTGCAAATCTTGATCTCGGGGTTGTGAGTTTGAGCCCCACTTTAGGTATAAAGATTACTAAAAAACTAAATACATTTTATAAAAAAATAAATTGTAATGATGGTTACTTCCAAAAAAGAGAAAGAGAGGAGAGGGGGAAAGAGAGGGGTTAGGGAGAGAGAGTAAGAGTGAGAGCGAGAGAGCGAGAGCAAGAGGGACATTCAGTTTTGTGATTCTCTACAACGTTTTCAAAAGAAAATAAAGCATTGGGTCAGATTTTGGCTTATAAACTTAATGTTGCTTATACAATTACAAGACATTCTCTATTAGTTATCTGTTACTGAACAACAAATCACCGCGAACCGCAGCCATTTGTGATCTCACTGCATCTGTGGGTCTGGAATCTGGCACAGCTTAGCTGGGGCTTCTGGCTCGGGGCCCCTCGGGGTGTGCAGTGAAGCCCTCCACACAGCTGCATTCATCTCAAGGCTCAACTGGGGTTGGAGAATCCACTTCCAAGTGCACGCAAGGGGCTGCTGGCATGAGGCCCAGGCTCCCCTCTGTCGGCCTCTCCGTAGGCTGCCTGAATGTCCTCATGACATGGAAGATGGTGATGACGATGATGTTCGTGATCATGATGATGATCATGATGATAGAAGGAAATGAAGGGGAGGGGAGGGGAG